CAAGACATTTACCATCAAAACAATGGACTCTCAGATTCATAGCACTAGGCATATATGTGACAGATGCCCTATAAACATTTGTTGAATGAATGACAAGATCCAAAGGAAAATTTATTTATTTACTTATTTATTTTGGAGACAGGGTCTTGTGATGCAGTTTGAGCTGACCTTGAACTCACTTTGTACTTGGCTGGGATTACAGGAATGTGTCACCATGCCCCGCTTCTAAAGGAAATACTCTCTTTAGAGAAATGAATAATTACATCTGATATTACTATAGCTACCAGTTATTATGCTAGTTTCCAGGGGATTGTTTTAAAGGCCTGAGACTACCATTCTTTTTTTCTCTTCTTTTGATTATAATTTTCTTTTTTTTGTCTTTTTTTTTTCATTTTTATCAGTACTGGGGATCGAACTCACAACCGCCTGCTTGCAAGGCAGGTGCTTATGCCGCTGAGCTAAATCCCCAGCCCCTGATTATAATTTTCTATGGGCAAACTGAAGAGTTGGTTTGAGGTTGAAAGCAGTATCTTTAATAATTCAGACAAAATACTGGAAATGGTCAATTGTTATGAAAAGGAATATGGAGCAAGAAGTAAGCTCCACAACCAGAAAACAAGAATCTAAGCTTTTCATATAATCATCAGATTGAATTTTAATTACCTACTTTGAGAAGTAAGCACTTACACCAAAACCCTGTGTATTAGTGGGGAGAGGGTAAACATAGAGATATTTGTCTGGAAACTGATTGCAGGGAATCATCCTCAGTCTTCCTGATAAGACAGATACAATGATTATTCTTGAAAACCAGGGACAGAAGAATATCATTGGTTTTTCAGATGGACTTTATGAGAAACTTTCCTTTTTCATTTTACTTGTCCTTATGTGGCATGAAATGTTTTTCTTCTCTATTTTCTTCCCAGTTTGGCCACTTGCAGAAACTAACAAATTATAATCAAGAGAAAAAGGCTTTAAAAGCAAATAACAACCACAGAAAACACAGAAAAAAAAAATAACATCTTTCCCTTAAACAAAACCAGTGCACCATGCTAAATACTTTGGGTACCATTCAGGGAGAGAGCAGATGTTTACATTTTTGACTAAAAACCCAAACCACTTCTTTTGTAATCTTTTTTCTTTTATTATCTTGCTATCATTACCATCTTTTTGTGTCTGCTTTCCTAATTTTTGAGATCAACTCCTTCTTCAGTGTGAAGAAGTTCCTGTAACTAACATTGCCAGGATCTATGGGTTGACTGGAAGGAGAGAGACCTGGGAAATACAGGTTTTGGGGATTGACAAAGGTTACTGATGGCAAAGCAGGAAATTGGCACCCCACTTTTTTGTCACTCGTGAGTAAATCAGTTTGTCCCCTTTGGCTCCACTTTTCTAGCTATAAATTTTAGGGAGTCAAAGGTGATCTTCAACTTTGTTTTCAGATTGAACATTCTGTGGGGCTACTACCTACAAGGAAAGTTTAGCTTGCTCCAAGCTTTACAAAAGGTAATTTGGCTGTGTTCAGAATGACAAAAATGCATAACTGCTGACACGGTGACACCAATTCTGGAGACTTCTCCTACACATGTGAATGGATGCGAAGTGACTCTAGTTCAAGGTGATGCCTTGCAGAATAGTTTATGATGGCTAAAGATGAGAAATAGTTAAATGTCCCTCAACACCCTACAGCTCAGTAAATTGTTTTAGATGATTTTGGCTTTTTTTTGGACATGTATTAGGGACATTAGTGGTATAGGTCCTCTTGCTTTACATGAAAGATATTTTTTTGAAGGGTATATATTATTTATTTATTTTTAAAAGGGTATACATTATTTATTTATTTTTTGAAGGGTATATATTTTATTGGAAACTTTAGGTATTCTTCAGGCAGACATCTTTAATCAAGGCTTTTGTGTGGCCTAGATAGAAAGCTGCACATTGTAGGGCTGGTGGGAAGGATAGGGACAATTCAGAGGACCAACCATTAGTCTGGCAAGAGGCCCCCTCATGATGAGTGCTCACTCTATGAGCACTCTTTGGCCAGCTTTTAGCCCTCTCTCGTGGCTTCTTCAGTGGATCCCACATATATGGAACATATGCCCTTGGGAAGTCAAGTTTTTTTTTAAAGACCAAATAAAGCAAACTATGATATTTATTATTACTTCTATGTGAGGAAGGAAGATTGGGGATTTAACTCAGCCTTCAGGAAGCTAAGCATGCATCCTATCACTTAGTTATATTACCCTCCCAACCTACGGCAATTAAAGAAATGACCAGGCCAGACATGGTGATGCCCACATGTACTCCCAGGTATTCATGAAGCTCAGGCAGGGGAACTGTAAGTTCAAGGCCAGCCTGGGCAATACAGCCGCATACTGCCTCAAAATAAAAATTGAACAAAAAGGCTAGGAATGTAGCTCAGGGGTAAAGCACTTGTATAGCAGGCCCAAAGCCTGGGTGTTGAAAAATAAGCAAATATTGATGGGGAAGCCTCAAAGATTTCAGAGATTTGGGGAGCCTGTAGGAGAACTCTCAACTACATATTCTCTTCTGACTGAGGCCCATGAAAAATAGAAGTGAAGACATGGCCAAATTTGGAGCTGGCTTCTTTGCCAAAAATGATCCACTAGGGCACTTCCTATTCTGTAGGGTGCAGCTGCCTGAATGGAAGCTGCTTCTGGGAGCATAATTGGAAAGGCCAGTGGTGGGGGTGGATGGGTAGCAAGTATTTTGTGGCTTTCCATTTCTTTGAGCTCATCATCTGGATTTCTGGGGTCCCCTAGGGGTCAGCAGAAGAGGCCCCAATTACCCAAACTGGATAGTACATAATTGTGAAAAAACCACTCACTAAAGGAAGAGGGTAGCAACCAACCCCTATCCTCAGTCTATCCAGCTCACAATCCTCCTCCACGCCGTCCTCCTTCAGTATCAGTAAGAAGCTGATGTGAAATTGGTTAAGCAACAGGGACCCTGGGCCTGGGGTACAGCTCAGCCTCACAGCACCTGCCTGGCAAGTGTTAGGCCCTGAGTTTAGTTCCTGGTATCAAACAATGACAAAGAAACAGAGGCCTGGACTACCGAGATAATAGTGAGGCTACAAAGGAAGGAATAAATCTCTAAATCAGTTTAACTTTTTAAGAGGCATATGTATATGTATATATATATATATACATTTTTTATTTTTGTCTTTCTCATTTTTATCGGTACCGGAGATCGAACTCACGACTGCCTGCTTGCAAGGCAGGTGCTTATGCCGCTGAGCTAAACCCCCAGCCCCAGAGTAAAATATTTAAAATATTTTATTTGGAGTTGGGGATCGAACTCAGAACCTTGCACTTCCAGGGAGGCACTTTGCCCCTAAGCTATGTATATCTCCAGACCAACTTTTTTCTTTTTTCTTTTTTTTTTTTTGTGGTGATAACAGTCCCACTCTGTTGAACTCAGTATGTAGCCCAGGCTGGCCTGAACTTGTGATGGTCCTCCTGCTGGGATTACAGGTACACTTTCTCTAATTTTTTCTCTTTTAGATGCCACTTTTTCAATTGAAGAATGATATGTAAGAAAGAAATGTGTCATTAAATATTGGGAGCTGATCTTTTGGACAAGATACTTAAAAATCTATTTATTATCTATCATTCATCCCGAGAGATCCCATCCTTCCAAAAGGAAATGCTTCCCATATTCTTCCTAAATGAATAAAACAAAAACTTGAAGACTGTATCTTCTGCTCCATGAGACACAGGGTCAGTTGTCTTCCTACCTTTGGCCTTCCTCCATTCAGTACAGGACGTCCCAGACTGGGAGCCCAAACGGGAAAGGTCGGGTGGGGGTTGGAGCAGACAGATGAGCATACAGCAGGTAGCCTTAATTAGCCCGGGCCAGCGCTGACCTACGGGCTGCTCTTAGCTTTTTTCACATTTAACTTCACGCGTCCATCCTAAAGAAATAACCAGTTTTAAGCTTATTTAGGGACATGTAATAAAGCAGCAGGCAAGATTCTCGCTAAAGACTTTTTCTGAATCTTATGCCACCGTCCTGTCTCAGTGGAGGCTACACGCAGGGAAAGAGGTTCCCTCAGAGGACCTGGGTCTTGGGTGACTTTACGTCTGTGTGTGCAACAGAAATCTGTTCTCCACGCGCCAAGCCCCTTTCTTTCATTCCTAGCTTTTTAGGTCAGAATACAATCGGTCTGGCCAGAGGCTGCCGACCTGGACGACTGGCCTTGGGCTAAGTCGCACTGCCCAGGCCCGGCTCCCGGGCGTGAGCAGGTGGGATGTGTGCGTGGGGGCGGCGAGAAGCGCACGCGGCGCGCTCTGCACCGCGCGGGGCCCGAGGACTTGACAGATCGCCGCGAAAGTAAACATTCCACAGAATAACAGCCCCTCCCCGACTTCCCACGCCGCTCCGCAAAGAAATCGTGGGAGGAGCCGAGCGAGGGGGAGGCCGAGTGGAATTCTGTGCGGCCGCCTGCGCCGCCCACCCCGCGCCCCCGGAGCGCGGCCTCCGTCCTCGCCCCACCCCGTCCGGGTTTGGCTCTGAGAAGAGGTCGGGGCGAAGCGGGCGTCTCGTTTCACTCGGGCTTCCCGAGTACTGGGCTTCTCTCCTCCGTAGTAAACAAAAGTGTCGCCGCCGCCTCCACGCTGGTTTGCTTCCTAGCAATCAAAACACTGAGAGGGCGAGAGACTCACAGAAACACTCGAGAATTACCAGAAAATAATAACAGATCAGAAAAAAAAAAAAAAAAGAAAGAAGCAGTGCGTGTGAGAAACAGAAAAACACCCCACTACCCCCCACCAACCCACTGCCGCCTCCCAGAGGAAGGCCAGGCCCCGCCCAAGCTCGCACTCACTGGCTGAGTGGGTGGCGGTCCCGCACGCTCATTGGTCGCGCAGGATGCCAGTCAGGGGCGGGCCGGCGCGCGCGCCGCCGCGGGCGGGGGGCGGTGGCAGATCCCGTAAGTCGGGCAGCGGCGTAGTTGCTGCCGCCGCCGCAGTCACCGCCACATTCAACAGGCAGCAGCGCTGCGGTCGCGCCGCCGGAGAGAGCGAGCATCAGTGCGTCCGCGTTTCTCTGGCTTTCCGTCCGCGGCCCTGTCACCAGGAGCGCGACGCCAGCTTGCCGTTCAGTCCGCGTAGCCTGTCCCGAGGAGTCCGGGTGCGGATGGACCCGCGAAGTTAAGTTCTGAGCTCGCTCTTCATTGCCCCGCGCCGGGCTCCGGGTTTCCGTCCGCTCGCGGCGCTGACCTCGGCCGCCAGACCTCGGCCGGCTCGCGGCGCCCTTTCACCCCCGCGCTCGCTCTCCCCTCCTGCGTTCTCCGCGGCTGGGGGAGGGGCGGGGGTCACCATGGCCGAGGCGCCCCAGGTAGTGGAGATCGACCCGGACTTCGAGCCGCTGCCCCGGCCGCGCTCGTGCACCTGGCCGCTGCCCAGGCCGGAGTTCAGCCAGTCCAGCTCGGCCACCTCCAGCCCTGCGCCGTCGGGCGGCGCGGCCGCGAACCCCGACGCTGCCGCGAGCCTGGCCCCGGCCCCGGCCCCGGCCGCCGCTGTCAGCGCTGACTTCATGAGCAGCCTGAGCCTGCTGGAGGAGACCGAGGACTTCCCGCGGGCGCCCGGCTCCGTGGCGGCGGCGGTGGCGGCGGCCGCCGGCGGGGGGCTGTGCGGGGACTTCCAGGGCCCCGAGGCGGGATGTCTGCACTCGGCGCCGCCGCCGCCTCCCGGGCCGCTACCGCAGCACCCGCCCGTACCCCCCGCCGCCGGTCCGCTCGCGGGTCAGCCGCGCAAGAGCAGCTCGTCCCGCCGCAACGCCTGGGGCAACCTGTCCTACGCCGACCTCATCACTAAGGCCATCGAGAGCTCGGCCGAGAAGCGGCTCACGTTGTCGCAGATCTATGAGTGGATGGTCAAGAGTGTGCCCTACTTCAAGGACAAGGGCGACAGCAACAGTTCGGCGGGCTGGAAGGTGAGCCGCCCGGGGCGCGCGGTGGGCGAGGCGCGGGAGTGGCAGGTGCGGTGAGGGGCTGCCCGCTACTGGCCGGGGCGCTGGAGTAGTGCGGGGGCGCGCGCGGGCGAGTTCCGGACTGGGAAGGGCGAGTCTGGAACTAAAGAGTGGAGAGAGTACCCGACTAGAGGGCTTCGGGGGGGGCGGGCAGAAAAGTTTAGCCCGCTAAGGAAGAAAGGAGTTGACTCGGAGAGCCTGCCCCTGTCTCCGCGGACCTCCGAGGGGAGGGGAGCGCCGCGCCGCGGAGCCGTTTCCGCCGCCCCGGTGGTGCCCATGAGCGCGCGACGGGGCCCCTGAGGACCCGGCACCTGGGGCGCGGGCTGCAGGTGGAGGGGACAGTGGGGCGCGGCCGGCGGTGCTGGCTCTGGAGGCTTGGGGGGGGGGTGAGCCCTCGGCTTTGTTTTGGTTTTAGCCAGAGTGGCTTCGAGTGCAAGGGGCCAGCCGCGGCGAGCCCGACGTAGCGCCGCCGACACGTGCGAAGGGGCGGCCACCGCCTGCGGAGAGCTGGCGCCCGGACGCGCGGGGCGAGCTAAAGTTCAAGTGTGACCCTCGGCGGGGGCGGGAGCTGCGGCGGCGAGGGAGGGGCCGCGGGCGCAGGAAGCCAGCGCCTTTAAAGGGCCAGCGCGTCCGGGCCGCGGGGCCAGCACTTTTCCTCGCAGGGAAGCGTCCCCAAACTTGGTGTTGCCCAGAGCGCGAGGCTTTTCCTTAGAAACGCCGAGGCTGCCCGGGTGTTTGTTGCCTTGACTTTTCCGTATTCCTGAGCACGGCGGCACTGGTGCAGGGCAGTTCTGTGACTGGGAACTTTGGGGAAGTCAAGTTGGAGGTGCGCGTCTAGGGAACTGCCGGGGACCACCTCCTGCGGGGGAGGGTAGTAGATTTGCGGATGAGAAGCTTCTGGCCCTTTTTGCCTTGCTTATTGAGACTGGGAGGGATTCAGGGTGGAGGATTGGTACAACCCGGCCAGGTGGTAAAGAAAGCCGCGGGGGCTCTTAGGGAGACCGGAGCTAGGGAGGGTTTCCGGTAGGTCTCCTCGCTGTGCAGCCTCGGCAGATTGAGTTTCTCACTGTCACAGGTGGAGGGCTTGGTGTGAGACGTACTCAGTTGAGTATCTTCGGACTGTATTGCATAGTGAAGATCAGTGTTTGCCGCTCAGTTGTTACACCAAGATTGTGTTACATACAAGATCATCCTTGTGGTTAATGTGTGCCAAAAGGTCAAGTTAGTTACATCACGTTGATGCTCCTGGAAAAAGGAGGCAAGAGTTACTTTCTTCCAAAGTGTGTTTCAGAGTAAAGGGTATCACTTATAATTTTATTGCGAGGCTTTAAGTGCAGTTTTACGTAGTTTTTAGGAAGATAAAAGTGCGACTTTAAGCTCGACCTAGTAAGTCTCAAAATCGGGATTGTCTGCCAAATCCAATTTTACTTAATATTTGAATTAAAGTGTTTGGCTCCTTTGTGAGTCTTACTTCAGCTTTTAAAAAGCATCTGTCATTTAAAAAAATCTTTGGCGTTCAGACAGCAAGTGTATACTTAACACTGTTTTTTTTTTTTTTTTTTTTTTTTTTTAAATGTCCTTGGAAGTGGATACAACCTACTTTTACTGGTTGTATCCATTTTGGAATATTTGCCGTCTTGCCTTAAAAATGTCATTGTCAAAGTATTTTGACTAGAGATACCACTTAAATTTCCCAAGATTTATTTGCTCATTTTTGGTTTTTTGAGACAAGTCTCACAATGAAGCTCAGACTGGCTTGTAATTTGCACATCTTCCTGTCTCAGCCTCTGAGGTACTGGGATTACAGGTATTGGCCAGGTTTTACTTAAAAAAAAATTATAGGGTTATATTACTCTGGTAGCCATCAGTTTCTTGTTCTAATATTTGAAATGCATATATAACTTTATTTTTAAACTTTGCTTACCAGGGGCTGGGATTTAGCTCAGCGGCATAAATACCTGCCTGGTACCGATTAAAAAAAAAAAAAAAAACCTTTGCTTACCAGAGCTGGGAGATCCCTGAAGTACAATAAGGGCTGTACCACTGGGATGGAGGCCGAGTTCCCGGGGAACCTGGGTGAAGCTTTGAGAGGCACTGAGCTTCCTTTCTCTGAGGAGCTGTTGCAGGGGTGAGGAGAGTCAGTTGGTGCAAGTTAGATTACAGCAAGTGCGTTTTCAGTTTGAGTAAAAGGGTATTTTAAGAAGTGAAGAAACAACTTGGAACTGTTCTAACTCATAACTAGTCTTCTGGTTAGAATTTTCATAAAAATGAATTACTTGTTAAAACCAGGTTTCACTCTCAGATCTGAAAGATCCTATCTAAAAATTCATAAAGGGAGAATTTTTACTCTGATTTTTAAAAATCCAATTCTAAAATGCAAATGAACCCATATTTAAGGGTTTTAGTACTGAGGAGAGATTGCTTTGAGAAACAGAATATTTTCTATGATTTACTACAGGGAATTATACTGAATAGTTAAACGTGATTTCTTATATTCTTGGACCTTTCTGAAAAATTTGAAAAATAGTTTGTAAAGACCAGAGTAGTTGGAAGGCTATTGGTGAACTCATTTGATTTTGCTTACATAGTTAAGCACTGGTTATACTTGAGAAATATATGCCTTTCCTGTTCGTGAGAATGGTATGTTACATCTGTCTTACACTGGTTTATTTTACTTTAAATGTCTTTCTTTCTTTCTTTCTTTTTTTTGAGACGGGGTTCCAAAGTGTAGTTCAGGCTGGTCTTGAACTGACAGCAGTTCTACCGAGTTTTTGTGTTTCCAGGTGTGTGCCACCGCACCCGGCTGCTTTTTTTTTTTAAAATATTGTGCAAAATTGTCGTAGTTACACATAAAGTGGAACCTAAGACATTTGGAAAACCCAAGATCTTTTAAACTAGTTCAGTATTTATAAACAGTGAAACTTTATTTCCATGACCTGCTTTCTCACATAGAAAGCTTTCTAAAGCTTAAGAAGCAGTAGTGTCAGCTCCGATTTTTTTTTTTATGGCAGTTTTGAATTGAATCTTGTTTTTTGTTTTGACATTATTTGGAACAGTGTTAAGCTAAAAGAATGTGTGGACTGTAACGTTTACGACACATTGAAGAGATTTTTAGATTTTATTATGAAATGTCTCAGTCTTTAATTTGGAATAATATTGCTTTAATTTGGTCTATGAAACGACAATGCATTTATTTGTATTTTGAAAAAATCACTATTCTGTAATTTGGATTTTTAACGTGCCAATACATAGTTTAGCCACAGAGCTTTGTTTTGTGTTGTTTTGCACATTATCATGTTTGACTTAAAGAATCTTGGTGAGAATGGTTGAGAGGACCTGAGTATCCTTCCTCATTCTTATTTGTTCCTCAAGTTACCTAAAAGAAAGCAAGTTTTATGGTTGAGCAGAAAGACTCAATTCTGTATTTGGGGAAGGAACAATGAAGAAAGAGAGTTTAAAATGTCTCAGAATTATGCAGATAAATGGGATGGTCTTGTTCATTAAAGGCTTAAAGGTAATCTCAGCTTGCTGTGTATCTTACGGCTAAAATATTTTGTTCAGAAACTGAAAATAGGGGCCCAGGATTAAGCTCAGTGGCACAAGCCGCCTGCCTGGCAAGGTGAGGTCATGAGTTCAATACCTGGTACAAAAAAAAATTTTTTTTGAAAATAGATACCAAGTCTGAAGACCTTATTTAGGTTGCATAAGAATGTATATTTACTTTTTATCTATGGTCTTGTGGCAGGCAGGCCCTTGATTGGGAAAACAGTGGAAAGTATTATTTGTTTTTTGAGTGATAACTCTGCTTTTTTTTTTTTTTTAACTAAAATGGCAAACATTTGAGTACTGAGAAGAAAATACAGTGGTTCCTCAGTTCAAGAAATTGATTTCTTGCACAGATGTGTTACAGACAGCCATATTTGTGTTTGTGGGGGTAAGATGGGTGTTGTTGTGTTTCTCACCTGACACAGAACTTGCAAACAAAAACAAAATTTTGCCAAATACTTTGGCTTGTGAACCAAACTGTTCTCAAACAAAAGTCATGAACTGAGGTACCAGGGTATTTTAATTTTCATGTGAGCTTTAAGAAAAATTGGAGTTGTAGGAGACTCCCCAATTGCTGAAAGAGTAGCAGCAGACATAAATGCCAGTGGATTTCATGCTGTGCTTTGGGAATCTTCTCTGTGGCCATATGAGATAGGGATGAGAGGAAAGAACATTTAGAATCTTTGATTGGCTAGAAATGTTTTTCCTGTTTTTGTGCGGTGTCCTCTTTATCCAAGTTCCAAACTGCAGCTTTGTATTTAGACTTTCTAAGAGAGCAGCCTTGTATTGCCTGGAATTTCTTTGGGAGAGCCTGAAGTACTTGCATTTTTCTGGAACACTCTGACCTTGGAAGCTGCCCAGGATCCTGGCAACATGGGAATTTACCCAGCCCTTTTTTTGGGTCTGTCTGTGTTGGAGCTTTTTGGAATCCTTTTGGAAAAGCAGTATAAACCTACAGGGAGTGAAGAGAGCAACATTTTCAGTTACATAGAAAACAGTGAGTGGGTTTGTCTCTTCTTTTCTGCAGCTAAAGACATACCTTGGCCATCATAGCAACAGCTTGTAGAGGTTTGTCTAATCCTCAGTGCCTCCCCCATCAAATAACCACCTTTTTTTGAGGAGTACAAAATTCTGAAGTTTGGTGTTATTTTGCGCTTGTGAAACAGAGGCCCAGTTCGTGTATTTCTTATCAACTTCAGGGCTAAGCACTGTAAATAGTGTATCACAGTTAGTGAGTTGACTTAACCTTACCATTCAGAAGGCATTTAGGCCACCTTTATTTTTTATTCCAACGATCTTAGTATACTTTTGGTAAAAGCTTAAAAGAGCAAAAGAGGAAAAGCAAACTTGTCTTGATAAAAGGTTAATGTACTTGGAAAGCTAAATCTTATTTTTTGTTTGTTTGCATATTTATTTAT